GGTTCTTTTTCGAAATAAACGCAACTGATAATATTGTTTGTAACAGTCTGGAACTACATTTATCTGGGACCTTATAGTTCTGGGCTGGGAAGTGAACTACACAGAGGAATTCGTGCCTGCGAATGAGAATTCATATACTATGATTATTCAGAAGGGGAAGAAAATGAGTTCGAACGAGGCTCCTGTTCGCAGGACATTCAAGAATCGGGAGCCTGGGAAGATTGTTCTAACTGTGGAAAATTGTTCTGGGAAGAAAAAGAAGTTGTTCTACCGGTACAAGGTTAAGAAGGCTTCTTGTTGATGAGAGTTTTGTGGTTTTTTTTCCAGTTCATTGCTTTGAATTCATACATTTTTTATAGAAGATTTTTATTGTTTTTTTAATCTTTGACATGATGGTTTTTGCATTTTCAACTATTTTCTGATGGGTAATGCTATAGGTATATAATATTGTACATAAGGGTGTACATAACACTCACATTGAGTGGGACCTACCAAAAATAAAAAATTAAGTGGACCCCACTCCATGTGAGTATTATGTACACCTCTATGTACATTTATTATGTACGTGTAGCATTTTCCTTTTTTGATATGAGTGTCTTTGTTTTTTTCTTGAATGTTTTCTACATCTTTTTATTATATCCCTCTAGATTGTATTTCATTTCCTTTTGGAGTGAATGAATTTTCATGGGACTAAATAATAATACTCAGACATTTTGATTTTTCACCTCTTCCATTGTTGTCCAGTAGAGCGTAAACGAACTGAGCCAAACGTGAGCTTCTGATACTCAAGCTAAACTGGAAAAACAGCTCGAACTCGACTCATATTTATAAAATTACATAATAAAAAAAAAAAAATCTATTTTCGAACCTTAAGAATAACCTATTTTCTGCGCTTCTCGTTTTGGGATGACATATCAATGTCCATGTACTCACCAGTGATCCTGAATACGCAAGATTTTGTTGAAATCATCAGAAAATCGAGATTCATGAGAGACTGACATTCAGACGCGTTTAATTTAAAACCGATCTCTAAAACTAAACTCGAAAAAAAATATCAAATTTTTAAAAAAGTATATATACCACAAAAATCACCACTTCATTTGTTATATACCACAAAAATCACCACTTCATGACACTTTGAGAAAGGAATGAGATTTCCTATATTCCACTTCGTTAGATTAATGACAAGTGTAAGTGACGATGTCATATGTGTACATGTATCATTCATCCAAAGGAGTGAAATACAGAAATGAAACCTGAAAATCGAGCAGGAGGAAAACACACACAAAAGGGAGTGGGAGTCTTTTTTTTTTTACCTGTTATATGTAAGATAAGCATCTCCAATGGTCCCTATGACTTTATTGCGCACTTTCCTCACACAAACCTGGACAAACAAACGAACGTAAATTGTTCAAAAACTTTGCCATAACATTCAATAGGCGTTTAATTAGAGTCTTGAGAAAAAAAACCTGAACTATGTCAACTGGACCCGATTCGGGATCCCTGTTACGGTGAATTACAATTCCATTGTCACATTTGTTAATGAAATGTGCACTCCCACTAATGTCGTACATATTCGGTGGGCCTCCAATCCAATTATGCAACTACAACAATTTAACTTCCAAGGATTTTATTACAAAGAATGTAATAATATACGAGCTTAGATACTAAAACGCGTTGCAAATTTGGTCAACCTGTCTTGGATGTGCGACGAACCAAACGTGACACAAGTGATGTTGAGCAAACCGTTTGATTTTCGTCAGCATCTGACTCACGTATTCTGTTTCAGTCCTGTGGTACATGTTCAACAAAATCTTTATAAGATTTTTTTTAAGCTATGTTTAATTAGCTTATACGCTTCATGTATTTAAATAAGTTTCGTTTGGTAGGACGAGCATTTTTAAAAAACTCGAGCTTATCTCATAAGCTTCTTTGCATAACTTATCTCGTTGAAATTTTATTTCAGCTAGCTTATAGCTAATTTTACATAACAATTTTATTATATAAGTTAGTTAGTTTTTCAGCTATAAGCTCAAAAATCACTTATAAGCTATCTGATTTTTACCAAACACTTTTATCATATAAATTAGCTTTTCAGCTATAATTCATAAGCTATAAGCTCGAAAATCACTTGTAAGATAGTTTATCAGCTTATCAACTAGTTTTATCAAACATAGCCTAGAAAGTTTTTAAAACATGACAACCGATCTAGACTTTCCTCACAAAATATGAGCAAATTATGACAAANAAAAAAAAAAAAAAAAAAAAAAAAAACGACTCACTGATTAGGGGAACGTTGATGGTCAAGTTCATTATACGGGTCGATCACAAGTCCATTAATCCCATGTCGAATAACTGCAACTCTTGCGAGATCAAGAACCCACTCGATATTCGGAAGGCAATCATTCTCACATCTGTTTTTGTAAAAACCACACAAAACACATGAACTGCAGTAAGACTTTCTTCAGGATGTTTTACTACTCGAACGAAAATTAAGACAAGCGAGTGGTAAGCATATTTGTTTTAGGCTAAATTGCATTTTAAATACTGCTGGTTTAACGCCGTAGTAGTTTTAATCCCAAGATTCTAACATTTCACCTTTTGGTCTTGTGATTTAATATTTCGCCGCAATTTCAGTCCTCAAAGGACTAGAATTGCAACGAATTCCCGAATTTATATCTTTGGATGGATTTATGATTAGCAATTTAACTCCTGTAATTTAAATTTTGTTGCAATTTCAGTCATTGTAGCAAAATATTAAACGAACAGGACTAAAAATGCATTTTTGCCATTTGTTTTAACATATACAAGCATATATAGGATATATGTAACCTTATCAGAGCAAATGAATCGCTGAGCCACTTCTTTCCTTGCTCCAACTCCTCAACGCTCATCCTCTCAATATGCTCCCCGTATCTGTTTTACATAAGAAACTTAGCAATTAGGACACGACAAGTAAACAATCGATAATATAACCTCAACCAACTGAAAATCGAGGAATATAAATTTGCACAAATCAATCGCGTCCCA